TTATAGCAATAGTTCAATTAACAATAATAATTGTTCACTGATTGATATGTGGTCCAAAAATTATGGGGTGTGTAGCACTTTCACTCCCTTTACTGACACATATTATTTATATGGAGATGGAAGGGATATAGCATTTCCAGTCAGTATAAAAGTTTTCCATGTATATGCCAGCAAATATCTAAAAAAAGTACAAAATCCAAAAATGATCAGAATATTCAAAGAAGTAATAAACTGCTTCAGACATTGAGAGTGTAGGGAAGCAAGTGTAAACTCAGATAAACATCACAAAAATCTGCTAATGCTCTAACCAGCAACTCATGAGGGGTAAATAAACCCTGTCTTGCTCTGTTTCCAGGAGTCCAGAAACCTGGAGTGCTCTGGCAAGGAAATTCCATGGGTTTAGAAGCTCATTACACTCTGATTGCAGATGCTCCCCAGGACATGGAAGCCAAAATGCTCTGACCGTCATGCTCCAGTGGGACTGGAATTCCTCAGTAACATGAGAAGGTGCTGTGGTGAGGCCTGAAGATTGTAATATTTTCAACTAAGATGATCCAGTAAAGCCTAAAACCTACCAGCATTCGGTGTGCAAACATACTAGCAGAGGTTGAATCCAGTGGCAAAAGGGCCAAGGAAATAGAGGCCAAACAGGACTTGACCCATCCCATCCAAGAATGTGGAAAGCAATTGAGTCTGGCCCTGGTAACAAAATCCCAAATCAAGAAATAAAGCTGCCAATGTGAGTAAACAGAAGACACCAAATATGAAGAAAGAGATGCGCAAGAGGTAAGCCCAGAAAAAGAAACTCCACAACAAGTATATATAGATCCTCAAGAAAAATGTTGCTGCACCACAAGGACTTCAAAATAACCTAGAAAAGAGTAAAGAATCAGACAAATAAATAGAATAAGGGCTCTAGAGAAAAATATGGAAGGCAAATAAATAGCTTAAAACAGAAAATGTTTTCACTTTCCCCATGTATCAGATTCTGAAAATTGGAATGGAAAAAACAGAACCCAGTGACTACAGGAAACAAGAAATGTTAGAGGGAGAAAATATTGGAAAAAAGAGAAAATTGTAAAGTATCTACTATAGCAAAAGACTAACCTAGAAAACAAGTTAAGGAGAGATAATTTGAAAATTATCAAACATTTTTTAATCATCCAACCAAAAAACCTAGATACTACATTCCAAAAAAGCATAAAGCAAAATTGTTCAGGTCTATTAAAATCAGAAGACAAAGTGAAAATAGAAAGAACCCACCAATTACCTCCTAAAGAAATTCTAAATTGAAAATTCTCAAGAATTTCATAGCCTTGGGGCAGGTAGGTAGAGCAGAGGATAGAGCATTAGCCCTGGAGTCAGGAGGACCTGAGACACTTTCTTTTTCATTCAGCCCACTTTGTATAAAGAAGATGGCAAAAATGAAGGAATGCAATCAACTCTGGTAATCTATAACCACAATTGCATTTCTACTCCACTGTCCTTATTTTTAAATTGCCCAGATACCAATCACTGGTTCTTAAACTTTCATTATCCCTGTTTAATCCTCTCCTTATGATTGACCCTCCAAAGTTGAAATCTGTTTTGCTTTTGAGTATTCTCTCCTTGTATCTAGCCTCCCTCTTATTACTGCTTCACCCTTCTCACTGTTCTCACTTGTTTTCCTATTGAGTTAATGTCTCCTTCTATGTGTGTATGGGTGTATGCGTCTCAGACACTTGACACTTATTAGCTGTGTGACCCTGAGCATGTCACTTAACCCCATTGCCTAGCCAAAAAAAAAAAAAAAGAATTACACAGCCAAAATCCAGAGCTTATAAAATGATGAAAAATAAAATATCACTACAAGTAGTCAAAAAGAATGCAAGTATCTGGGTACCATAGTCATCACACAAGACTTGTCATAACCTCTATACAAAAGAGAAAATCTTGGAATAAGATTTTCAAAAAGGTAAAGAAATACTCCAATACAGTACTGTGGGTAATCATACAGGGGTGCAAAAAAAGGCATCTTTAAAAATAATTTTAAAATTATTTAAAATGGTTTTGTAATAGTAATTTAAAAATAAGGACAGTGGAGTAGAAACACAATTTCAGCTATAGATTACCAGAGTTGATTGCATTCCTTCATTTTTGCCATCTTCTTTATACAAAGTGGGCTGGATGACAAGAAAGGAAAAAGCATAAGATGGCATGATGTTGGAAAAAAATAATTGATGAAAATAATAGAACATGAATGGAATGAACTCACCTATAAAATGAAAGAGGAAAGGAGAATGGATTAGAAGGAAGAATCCAACAGTATAAAAGATAAAAATTCTAAAAGAGTTAAAATGAAAGGCTAGAATGGAATTTACTATGCTTTAGGCCAAAGGTGGGGAACCTGCAGCCTCCAGGTTTTAGGCAAACTAAAAAAAAATAGGAGTAATATTTATAAATCCATCTTGAAAATCAACCAATACTCTTTTTAAAAGTTTGGAATGCCCTAACTTTTCATCCTGATATCCTGCTAAAATACCAGTTCTCTTTCAGGGATATGTAAAAGCATTGGGGATGTTTATGATTACTGGTTTATAATTTCTTCTAATTCAATAAAAAAGTATTCTCAGTTCAAAAAATAGCCACAGAAAAGTCACTTTAATATGTCCTACTTCTTTTACTTAGTTATACAAATGTAAATATGACTCTAGGGGCGGTTAGGTGGCGCAATGGATAGAGCACTGGCACTGGAGTCAGGAGGACCTGAGTTTAAATCTGGCCTCAGACACTTGACACTTACTAGCTGTGTGACCCTGGGCAAGTCACTGAACCCCATTGCCTAGCCAAATATACGTACATACATACATACATATATATGTATATATATATATATATATATATATATGTATGATTCTAACAACAGCTTAAAATGTGAAACCGTAACTAAATTCAAATTAGAATTATAGACATTTGAAAGCTACAAATGTTAGATTTCATTTGTCATGTTTATCCATCATTAAAAAGTTAACTCCTACTTTGTTTTGTCTCAGGATGGGTATAGTACTGATAATGTAACAGATGAGTTAAATTTCATAATTGACAAAAATAAGTTTAAAGTACACTGACTTGAAAAGCACTTTATATGTAAAGAGTAGTATGTCATATTGAAAAATGTTGGAATAAGAGTCAGGACACCTGGGGTTAAATACTATTTCTGATTCTTAGTAACTCTGTGACCATGAGCAAGACACTTAACTACACCAAACCTCAGTTTCTGCCTCTGTAAAATGGGAATAACACTTTTCTCATATAGGTGTTGTGAAAATCAGATACTTTATGAACCTTAACAGCATGGCAAAAATATCAGTTCCTAATATTATAAATATTTGATCACTGATTATTCCATATTTTTATTCTATTATTTTAAATTTGCCAGGCTTATTTTTTCTATTCATAAGTCACCATAAAATAAAGGCTCTCTTTAATGGATGAGGGGGAAAAAAAGAAATACTGAATTTGTTGCTATGCATATCCTTTACAATAGCTCAAAATACTGACTATTGTCTTATTGACAAAAATTGAAAGTCTGAAATTTTCAGCCCCATGAATAAGATAACCTTCCATTATCATATAGCCTATTTGGATCATTTTCAATTCATATAATGAAAATATGTGAGATCACTAAGATTTATTTGGGCAGACTTGGCAGCTTTTCCATGTATATGTACTTGAGCAATGAGATGCACTTTGGATTTAGGGCTTGCTCTCTAAAAATAAATGATTGCTTTAATCTGGGTAAGTGTGTGTGAGTAGAGGAAACATGAATAAGGTGTGACTCTTTCAGTTAGAAGTCTGATTTACACAATGTCGTGCTACAGTTAAAGGTCTAGTCAGGTATAATCTCTTCTCTAAAATTTCATTTGATGCCCATAAGAAGAGAGACCTAGAAAATATGTCTTTGGTTAATTAAGAGGAGGCAGGAGTCAAGTTGAATGCATACCCTTGGTGCTCTGAGTTCATAAGATATCAAAACCATTTCCAAAATAAGTGACTCCTCTTTAATTAAGCTAAGCAGCTAGCTAAGGCATGTGGGTGGGGTAAAGCAGTATCCTTGAGAACTAGAAAAATGCAATCGGCAACTTTTGGTAATTTTTGGAATCTCCAGGAGCAAAGTTCAAAACCAAGATAATTTTAGAATGACCCACACTAATTAAAGATCATAAGATCTTAGATTTAGAGATGAAAGAGATTTTAGAGGCCACCTGTCCCCACCTTCTCACCTTATAGATGGGAAAGTTGAGACCTAGAAAGGTTAAGTGACATGCAAAGTTATTCGAGTATTGACTATGTCAGGATTTCAATCCAAGTCCCCTCCTTCTAAATCTCTGTACAACTCTGCCTCACTGTGATGACAAATACCTCTCTGACTATGGTAAGACCAGTCAACTTTTTTTAATTCACTGCTAAAATGTTAAGTTTTGTTGGAAAAAAAAAAACAAACTCACCTTAAACTGACAAAAAGAAGCCTGTATCTGGGGTTGCTTAGGGCAACCTAGCAAACATAAACTAGGCCAAAGCCTTGGCAGTAACAGACTAGGTCATCTCTGGTCACCAGGTGTCATGATTTGGTGGGCCTTTCCTCATAAATTTTAATGTTTTAAAAGAATAGTATGTTATCTAACTGGAAAAAAAATAAACTTTTAAACAATATGACAACTATAAAATAAAAAGTAGGCTTGTTCTATTATTTTATATATGAGTTGTCAACTTTTAAAATGATATTTTAAGACTAAAAAAAACAAATTTCTTAAACCAATTCACTTTTATTTTTAGAACATAACAAGGAAATATAATGCTGTTTAAAAGAGAAAAAAATACTAGCTCCAGAAAATATAAACTTTGTGTAAATTGGATTTAATTGGATTAAACTATAGGCATAGCCTGCCTAACATTTTTTAGAATACAACTTTAGATAAAACAATGTTGTGGAGACAGTTAATTGATCCTCTGGAACTTACCTTGACATGGAGAATCACATCACTTCTCTGGAACCCAGTTTTCCCATCTGGAAAATCAGGGTGCAGGACTAAGTGATATTGTCCCTTCCTGGTCAAATTCACCTTATGATGGGGGTCTGCCTGTTTAACAACTATAAAAGCAAAGAAAAGAAATTTGAGGAAAGATGATCATCATTCAATTGAATTTTAAGACACTTAGCAAAATAAGGCATTCCCTCTTCACTATCCCCAAATAACATGCAAATAGTACTTTTACATATAGCAATAAGAGACAACAACTTGCAGGAATAGAATAGACACAACAGGAGAATGAAACATCCAGCCATAGATACAAAACCCAAGATTGAGGCTTGTGCAAGAAGTCCTAGAAACAAAAGATAGTAAGTAAAAGTAATAAATAACATGAAGTACGGAACAAATATGAATGTCACTGAGATATAGGTGCTTTGGAAAGAGAACAGTTAAATCTAAACCCTTAGTCCGGTGTTATTATTTTTTTGAGGCAATCAAAGTTAGGTGACTTGCCCAGGGTCATGCAGCTAGTAAATGTCTGAGGCCACATTTGAACTCAGGTGCTCCTGACTTCTTGGCTGGCACTCTATCCACTGTACTACCTAGCTGTCCCTCAGTATTATTTCAAGTTATATTAGGTTATATTATATTGTATTATGTTATTTTGCATTGTGTTTCATCATGTTATATGTCATATTATACTATGCAATACTAGATTGTTTTATTATATATTATGTTATAATTATAAGTATTATATATGTGCATATATATAATGAATGACACTCAAATCTAAAGTATGTTCCACCCAATCAAAAAACTATAAAAACAGAAGAAAACAGGATGCTGTAAAGATTACTAAAAGATTCTGAAAGTACTTTGAATTAATAACAGGAATAAATAGGCAAAGCTTTATGCTAGTCACTGCAGATGCAAAGACAAAAAGAAGAAATTGTCCCTGCCTTCACAGAATTTATTTTCTACTGGGTAATAATAATATGGAAATGATTTTAAGTACATTCTGAATACTGACTCGACCAACATAATTTCTCAGTGATGTCACAAAGACATATCTACATTCTATGATAATATCTCCTCATGTCTAATGGTTACTGGGGAGAGCACAGAAGGCCATAGCTGTGTTTACTAATTAGAAAGCATCTTTTGCTTTGATACCCTATATCATGTTGCGACACAGCAGCCAGGACACCAAGGTGAGAGTGAAACAAAAGTAAGAGAAGTGAACATATTTACAGAAGCCTCTAAAGTTTACACAATGTTCTAGCCACCACTGCCCTGTGAGATGTGGAGTGTAAATATTATTCTCCGTTTTCCAGATGACTGAACTAGGATCCAGTGAAATAGTGTTCTCTGACCATAGTCATATAAATGGTAGAGATCAAACTTGAACCTAGGAATTTTGACTTCAAAACTAGACTTCTTTCCATTATACAATGGTCAGCAGAGAACATTGCCAGAATCTTTTTTTTTTTTTTAAGTCAGCAACCTCCATGCCAATATGACTTCAAGTTGCTAACACCTTCACTTTTGATGTGGAGGAACCTGAGGCACACATATATCAGTTTAGGAATTTGGCATTTAACCTCATCATTATGTATGGATCAAGTTGTCAACACTCAACAAGGAAGACCCAATGGGAAGTCAAGGGAGTCACATTTTTCTGCAATAGAACAAAATGACCAAAAAGACTAATATGTAATTACAACTCTTAAGGGCAAAGTAGGGACAGCTAGGTGGCTCAGTGGATAGAATGCCTGGCCTGGAGTCAGGAAGATTTATCTCCCTGAGTTCAAATCTGGCCTTAGACACTTACTAGTTGTGTGACCCTGCACAAGTCCCTTAACCTCATGTATAAAACAAGCTGGAGAAGGAAATGGCAAACCACTCCAGTATCTCTGCCAAGAAAATCCCAAAAGGGGTCATGAAGAGTCAGACATGACTTAATAACAAAGGCAAAGTATTCCTTTCATCAACTCAACAAATATTCTTATCAAACATTCTACTAAACTAATTAGAAGGAGGTGCTAGATGTCAGGTACAAAAAGGCGAAAAACTAGTCTCTGCCCTTGAAGAACTTGTACTCATCTGGAAGAATACAACAATAAACAAATAAGTTTAGGAAGGACCATTTGAAGAGGGAGAAGTGATCACTACAGGTGCAGGAGTCAAGCCTTATGGGAAACTAGGAATTTAAACAGGGTAGAGTTGAAGAGGCAGTGAATTCAATTCACAAGGTCAATCTATGCAAAGACTCAAAGGTGGGAATTGTTGAACAAGTAGGCCAGTTTAGTGAGGACATAGACAACAAAAAGGGAGTGATGGATAATAAGCCAGGAAAGGTAGGCTGAAGACAGATTTTGAAGTGCTTTAAATACCCAGCTGAGGAATTTGTATGTCATGCTAGAAACAATGGGAGCCACTGAAGTTTCTTGAGTGGAGGATCATATGGTTCATGATCATATTTGCTTTAGAAAAAAAAATAGTTATATGGAGAATCTATTAGAGAAAAGAAAAACTAGATGCCAGGAATTTTTGAATCTCTTCCTTCATAGGAAGATTAGAGCTATGCACACATGAGTGGGGCAGAAGAGAAATTTTTAGGAAGGGCACAGAAATGATGCTGTAATCTGAAGTATTCAGAAATAGAGTGAAGGGTAAACAGTCCTTTAACACCAAGCAGATATAACCTAGAAAGCCAAGCACCAATCTGAGATTTTGTCATCAGGTTATGATTCAGAATGATTGACAAAAGCAAATCACCATTTTAACCAGGGTCTGTGTGGGAGGTTAGAATATGCTTTTTAAAAGAACAAAGAGAAAAAGAAAAGAGAGTTAATGAAACATTTATAGAATACATAGAAAAAAAACAAGCAGAAGGAAGCTCTGAAAGAGACAAATGATCAGGGCAGTGCTGGAATGACAGTGCTGAATTTATTGTATACTTTAAAGAGAAAACAAGCTATACATAATTAAGATTCAAGGTTTCATATGTAATTTTTCTGTTCTTTGTATACTGAAATGTTCATATTTGTTGATGACTATCAAGTTCATAACAAAAAATGGGGAAAATAAAAATAAAATTCTGATTAGCTCTCTGGGGGGAAAGGAAGAAAGCTGGTTGGTTTTCATGTTGGCTCTAAAAAAACATCTTTAATTTTTAACGTTTTCTTAATTTAATTTAATTCAACAAACATTTATTAAGTAATTAAACTGTGCCAGGCCCCTTCCTACATCCTAAGAAAGTTAAAAAAAAAAAACAATTATTCTTGCTCTCAAGGACTCACATTCTGCTCCTCAAGCTTAAGTGTTTTTTAATAAAATGATAGATACTTAATAGGTGCTTAATAAATACATGTTGATTTATTAAAAGGCATATTTTTATACAAATGAAGTACCACTGGATTGAATATCAGACAGAACAAACACTTTACAATTGGAGCAGCATAACAGTATCACCACCATCCAGAAGCAATATGTCTAAATTGCAGGGGCAACATTTCAAGAGCTCAATGAACCCCTTATAGATCAAAACTACAAAAATAGTCACCAAGAATATATGGAAACCCCTAATACAAAAGTAAAGAAAAAAAGTTCTTCTGTGGATATATTTAAACATAAATTAATTTAGGAAAAGAGAAAATATGGATTTGAATTCAAATGAAAAAGACTCATTTGGAGCTGAAAGATCTGGGTTCAAATTTCAGTTCTGCTATTTAATACTTGTGTGACATTGAACAAGTGATTTAGTCCCTCTGGGCCTCAGCTTTCTCATACGTAAAATATAGGGTTAGACTAGATGACCTTTTTCTAGTCTAGTTTTCTTCTAGTTTTAAATCCCATAATCCTTTGAGTCTGTTAACTGATTATTTGATTAAATGTAATTCAACAGACATTTAAGTGCTTACAATATGAAAGATTACATTATGAGCAGCTAGGTGGCACAGTGGAGAGAGCACTGGGCCTGAAGTCAGGAAGACCCATCTTTGTGAGTTTGAATCTGGCCTCAGACACTTACTAGCTATGTGACCCTGGGCAAGTCACTTAACCCTATTTGCCTCAGTCCCCTCATATGTAAAATGAGAAGGAAATGGCAACCACTCCAGTATCTTTGCCAAGAAAACCGCAAAAGGTGTCATAAAAAGTTGGACATGATTAAATAACAATGTATATATATGGAAGCCCATATTTTAATGACTTCATGTGCTTCAAAAGGTACTTCTTCTTAGTCATGTGATTTGAACACCCTACACCCTCTTGAGCCCTCAGTTTTCTTGATCTATAAAAAAGGGATATATTAACTAACATGCTTCAAAACAAAGAATGAGAACAGATAATCTCTTGACGTATTCTTTCATCCATTCAAAAAAGTATTTTTTAGTGCCTACTACATTCCAAACTCTTTGCTAAGCTCTGGGGATACAGACCAAAAGAAAAGAAGAAAGAAAAAAAGGAAAGAGAGAGAGAGAGAGAGAGAGAGAGAGAGAGAGAGAGAGAGAGAGA